CAAGGTGGTGTTATAAACAGCATTCTTGAAATGTTCCCATCATTCAGGTGCATTTGCAACAGCTGGGCCTGGAAGAATTTCCTCAAGTGCTTGGGAAAATTCCTCCACTTTTCTTTGATCACAAGTCTTGCTGATGTCAATATGTGGTCTTCCTTCCTTTTTGTGTTCACAGTTTTACTCTACTATACACCAGGGGGTGATCAATATCGCAATCAGCACCCTGATAGCTGCATGTGATCGTAATACTAGGAAGGTTAGAACGTCTAATGAGGATCAAATCAAGCTGATTCCAATGCTTGGATCTTGGATGTCTCCAGAAAACTCTGTGTTCAGGCTTCATATTTAAAGAACATGTTGCTGGCCATTTTTGTTCATCTTCCCAATTCCAAAATGGCCTAGACAAGTGGGCGAAGAATTGTGATGAGCACCAATTCTAGTGTTAAAATCCCTGAGAATGAACAGTGGCTCTCTCTCAGGGACTTTTTTGATAGTAGCTGCCAGATCATCATAGAATTTGTCTTTGACTTCTGTTGTGGATGACAGTGTTGGTGCATATGCACTGATGAGGGTGACCGTTCCCGCTGATGAGTGGAGTTGCAGAGACAGGATTCTTTCACTCCCCACAGTAGGTGGAACAATGGATCTCAGCAGAGTATTTCTGATCACAAAGCCAACACCATATTCTCTGGTCTCATTCAATGGTTTTATCTGTCAGAAGACTGAGAAGTTTTTTTTTTCTTTACAGACCCCATTGTCTGGCAATCTCGTTTCTTGCAGGGCAACAATGTCCATCTGCAGTCTACTCAGTTCCATGACAGCTGTCTTGCCCATGTCGTCTGTTTCCTACAGGTCGTCAGAAAAGCCAGGGGTCATTGTCCAAACATTCCAGGTGCCCAACTTTAGGGCAGAGGTTTTCTTATGATTGTTGCATGGTGCAATATTATTGACCTGCTTGTCGGGTTTCACCCTAAACCCCACGCACCCATGAGGTTAACAGAACATGGCGAGGTAGCACCTTACTGACTGGGCGCTGCCCAGCTTAAGGTGGGTGGTAGCTACCTAGTGAGGTGCAATGACCTCTCCCATCGTCAGAAGCAGCCCCTGGTGTCATGCTCTATGCCAATCAAGCAAAGACTTATAACCAGTAACTGCTACGGCCCATGTTATTTCGATACTGTATGTGAAGCTGGAGTGTCCTTCCCAGAGCACGAAGCCTGGGTAAAATAATATGGAGGATAGGCTGTTACCCAAGCAGCAAATCCGCCCTCTCCACATTGCTGAAATAGTCCAATGGAAATGCAACAGCCAATACAACTGGTTCCAGCGATGTCGCAGGAGTTACCAGAATGACACAAACTGCCTCTGGGACTCCGGCTCACGATTTTGCCTCAAGGTTCTGAAGCCTTTTCCATCAGTGGATATAGCCACAAGACAGTGGAGGTTTGAAATCGGAGTTCTCCTAGATGGGCTGCAAGCCCCACCTACCCAGCCTGCTCCCTAATAGTGCAGAAGTATGATCTTACCCCTAAACCCTTCCTGCCTCCCAGGTTTATGCAATGCTATTTGGCTTTCCTATTTACCAAATTAGAGTAAAAAATAGAACCAGAGAATTTCCTCTTCAGGAAAGGGACTTCGAGCTACTACTCACAGTCATTTAAAGCTAAAACCCTACCCCCTCAGACCATGCAGTCAGGGAAAACAAAGTTCAGTCTAGAAGAAAATACCTCACCAAATAAAATGTCCCCCCAAGCACAGCTCACCTCCTGCCTCAGCTTCCTCTTCAGGAAGAAATAAAAAGTTAGAATTTAAGAGAATTACAATATACTTCTCCCAGCTGGGGAAGACTATAACATTGTGCCCATACAGTCTGCTCTTCTAGGAGCTCCTCTGTTTGAATGGGCATCTTCAAGGTCCCTCATCTCCATCTTTATGGTTTTTAAAATCACACCTGGCCTTAACCACCCTTCATATGACAGCCACATTTAG